TATATATATATATATATATATATATATAAAGCAAATACATACATTAATGCTACACTATTTTTTTTTATGTTTCATGTAAAATTATAAAAGGTTTTCCTACCAGCTTTATAAATGAAACAGTTTGCATAATATTCTCTGGAAACCAGAAACTGTTTTGCCAAAGCATTAAAAGAGTAAAAAAAATTAAAATATGTGTGTAAATATGTGCATGTCTATATACTGTTTATGTGGGTATGTGTATATACACAGGTATACGTGTCTATCATATCTATCTATTGACATTTTGTAAGATTCATCCTTATACAGCTGTGCTATTCTGAATAAATTCAAACTTTTACAACTGAAACACACACACATACAAAAACATTAATAATTTGAGAACCTTTTATTTGAAATGTCAGTGTTCAGGAAAAGAAAACAAAAAACAGCAATATAAATATTAGCATACAAAATGCGAGTAGCACATAGGAGCCAGGAATCAAAGCCTTAGCAGAGATGTTACAGCAGGATTATAGCATCAGCAGACACACACACAGATAATAGATCTATTCAGATTCTTCATATAGACATTAAGAAGCATTCTCACATGTAAGCATGACTGAGTGCACAAGATTAATAACAGAGGATTTTAGATCTATTTGCCCTCTATTTTGTGTCTTTTCGTGGAAAAGTGTGACAGGAAAAGAGGATGATGAACACAAAAATATATGCATAACATCACAACTTCTAGGCTAAGAGTGTCACTATTTATTTTCATAGGTAAAAGTTAAACTCTTTATTTACAGGTGCGTTAGTCGGCCTTCATAGTACTAAAGAACTACTACATTGGTAACAGAGTGTCAAAAGTTTTTTTTTTCTTCTTTTTCTCCATTTTGATATTTTTTCCCTGTAAAATAAAAGGACATTCCAGTAGTAAGCCATTCCTCTTGAGCTGATTATCTGAAAAGGTTTCATGTGTTTTTAAGGACAAATTTCTATTTACAAAGTAACGTCATGCCAACGGTACGAGAACTGCTGTATTCAGAGGGAAAGTGAACCGGTACCAGCATTTGGACGGAATCTTTGCATTGCAAGTATTTTCCAAAACCAGCTTTCCAAAGTTCTAATAACTAACTCAATGACAGTTAGCGTGCTTGTTGTACATTCAATGATTGCAAGTTGTCTCCTAAAACAGCATCAATTCTAACTGGTATTGAATTTTAAATGTATTCATATTCCATTGAGCTTGTTGCACATGGCCAAAAGAAAGAACAGCCTTAGCATTAGGAAACTGCTGCCTAGATCAGCAACTCACAAAGTCAGGAGGTTTTGTCACCATCAAAACTACAGATACTCACTTAAAGTAACCCATCTAATTACAACCAGCACTGATAAAGAGCTTCAACACTTCAGGATAACCTGGAAATACTGAATACTAAGGACGATATGCCACTGCGGGCACTTGTGGACTTGTAACTGGTTTCACAATGCTCCCATTATGGCTCGGCCATCACTAATGCTCCATAAACATTCAGTTAACACAAAAAAACAACAACAACCAAACTCTGGCTCAGTGATACACAGGGGGATCCATGCTTGAAAAGCAAATTCAAATCATCATAAAAGCGGATGGTTTAACTGCCCAACTCCTCCGTGAGAAAGTTGTAGACGGGTGTTCATAGATGTCAGGTGATATGGAGATTATCTATAGCGCAAAAAAACAGCATGCAGCAATAAACACCTGACTTGCATCTACGTCAACACTTCTCCTAAAATGATCAATAAAAAAAGTCCATAGTGGTATTTTAGCAAACAATAACAAAAAAGTAAAGTAATAATCATGATGCATTTTACAAGCATTACAACATTCACAGCAACACTGTGTCTTTGTATAAACAAGAACGTGATTGTTACAAGAATACAATTCCTCTTTTTGTCCAGATGTCAGTTTAACATGTTCACGGTAAAGTACTGTGGTAAATACATTACTGGCTTGATATACGCAGGAGTATAGTGTCACTTAGAAGTTGCATAAACTTTGCAAACATGAGAATGAAAAACTAATTTCTCTCCAAATGTCCAAATGAATCAGGAAATGAATTTACAGTACTTAGGCTTAAGTAAAACAAATACATGTGTGAAATAGACAAAGTGGTTAGAAGTGGGTTTACATTGACACACTTTTTTTTTTTTACCGTAATATTTTTCCTCTAAATAGTTACAGATTTCCAGCAAACCTCAGAACAGCACAGAAATGGAGTCGCCTCCCTAAACCTCATATCTACCTATGGCTCTCTACTTCTTCTCCTTCTTGGTAGATTTCTTCTTGCTGGCAGGCGTCTGGGCGGCTTTGGGCGGCTCAGGTTGGGCAGCAGCAGCGGCTATGGCGGCCTGTGGAGGTGGCAGGGCCTGTTGGGGTTGCTGCTGGTTGGAGGTCAGGGTGGCGGTGCTGCCGGGGATGTAGACGTTCTGCCGGTAATCAGGGACGTGCTGCAGGGTGAACTGAGGGTTGTAGCGGGTGCTCAGACCCATGGTGCCCGGAGCCAGAGTGTTGGTCGCCTCGCTGACCTCTGCAGAGAGAAGAGAGTTTTCTGTTAGGTGATTTGGGGAGGATTTCACACAGCTCCTGAACTCTTTTTGAAATAATTTGTTTAAATATGTTATGGTAAGAGGTAATAAAATAGTCACCAAAAAAGTGTCGCTTTGCATGAAAGCATTTGCGAAATGAATAAACTATCACAGCAAAAAATAATTTTCATATTTTGCCATACAAAATCAAGTAAAGATATCTAAACATTCTTAAATCAAGATACATTTATTTGGGAAGCAAAATAAATTACAATATTAAGGTTTGTTTTCTGAAAAATGTATCAAAATGCGTTTATGCTTAAAATTAGGAATATTACCTGCCAGTGGGTTCATAAAAAAAATAAACAAATGTAAACACTGAAAAAAAGAGGTTTTCTTTTTTGTCTTGTTTCCCGGTAAAAAAATATAAAACATACTTCTAGGCTTTATAAAAGATATACATTTACATAATTGTTTTGGACTTAAAATTACAAGATATCAAGTCCCAGTAAATAAAAAAGGCTATGCAACAAAGCCTATTCTACAGGTTTTCAACCTAGAAAAAAGAACAATGACAAATTCAAACAAAGTGAGTGCTAATGGAAAACTGCTGAATGGCTGATCTCAGAACAGCACTGGACAGAACAGTGGAAACATTGACTCTCTCCAATGGGAACCAAATAACTCAATAACGTCTGTCTCAGTCTTTGCAGAACAAATATAAAATGATTCCACTTGCTTCTCATGTGTCTGTGTGAATGTGGATCTGGCCAAAACAATCAGTTCTAATCTTTTACATAAGCTGATGTACACCACAGTTCAAAAGTTTGGGGTCAGTAAGATTTTTTTTTTTAACTTTTATTCAGCAAGGATGTATTAAATTGCTCAAAAGTGACAGAATAGACACTTATGATATTATATTAAAAAAATCTACATCATGTTCTTTTTCTGTTCTTTTGAACTTTCTTTTCATCAAAGAACCCTGAAAAAAAATAAATGTATCACTGTTTTCATACAAATATTAGGATATTAGGGACCACTTTATATATTAACTCTTTTTAAAATAAGAAATATTTCTTGAGCAGCAAAACAGCATATTAGAATGATTTCTGAAGGATCATGTGACACTGAAGACTGGAGTAATGATGCTGAAAATTCAGCTTTGATCACAGAAATTACATTTTAACATATATTCTCATAGAAAACAGTTAATTATATTGTAAAAATATTTCACAATATTACTGTTTTTTAATCAAATAAATACAGCATTGGTTAATGACTAATGACAGTAAAAAAATAAAAATAAAATAATAATAATATCTTACCAACCCCAAACATTTGTAGTGCATGTGTTTTACAGGCAAAATTCTAATTTAGTGTTAGTCTGTAGTCATGATTAGCTTTATGTAACAGCAGCATCCATCTAAACGATGAGGAAATACCACAGCAACTAAGTAAATGTGTGATGAGTCACTTTCTTTTTATTCCTGCTCAGTCGCAGCAGTATTGAAAATAAAGGGAAACATGAGAGAGCCTGACGTCATGTGTGTCAACAGCTTTGATGTGCTTTGTATAGACACGGGCCACTGAACTCTGTGTGTGTGTGTGTGTGTGTGTGTGTTCCCACGTGGACATCTGTGACTGTGCATGTGCTCATTCTACATGATTGTCCATGATGCATGCAAGACAAACATATATGCAAAAATTCATCTGATTATGATGTAAATGACTGATTAATCAGATAGCAATGCAATGAAGTCAACACTCTGTTCTGTATGTTTCTCATGTTTTCAACAATACATATGCACAGTGATGACACCATTAAAGAGCAAGTGAGAGATTCTCACCATTAGCAGCAGCCATCAGCACCTGGAGCTGCTCAGCCTCGGTTGGGGGGTTGGGCCAGGGTCCTGTTCCCATGGCAACCTCAGGAGTGGCGGCAGCAGCTCTGCAGAGAGGAAAAGGAAATAGAGTCAGCAAAACAGAGGCCGTTCTGTAATGCTTCTATCAGCAACAGCTGCAGTGAGTGTGTGAGGCGCTTTGTGCCCTAATTTCACACACACACACACACACACACACACACACACACGCACACGCACACACACGCACGCACGCACGCACGCACACAC